ATTACTTATAAATAGTGCTTATTTGATTTCAGTTAAAAAACTATGACTTCCATATATTTTTATATAAAGAAGTTTTGTAAATAAATTTCTATCTCAAATTTACAAACAGAAAATGTTAATAATAATTTGCCTTATGATATGAAGGCCAAAACCAAGCATGAAAATCTCTGCTTTCTCTTTTGTCTTTTGATGTGGACTCTCATCAAGTAGCAAAACAAAATACTTGTATATTTCTTTTTTTCTGGATAATGTTTAACAACAATTGTGTGAAATATGATGCCAATACAAACACAATCATGTAGGTACATTTTCGTTTACCATACATAAACTTTCTACATATCTGAGAATAGCATTAAAATTGTCACTGAAGTATACAATAAATGATTTAACATACTCCCAGTGTACATATAATTTCCGTTTTAAGATGAATATATATCTATCAATAAATGTCAAGACTGTTCCATGCAAAGTGTCAGACAAATAGTATTACACTAATTGAACATACTAAGGTTGCTGCTGCAGTCACCAACTGTACTAATTTGGTGAATTGCTCATTTTTATTTTGGAAATATCCAAACAGGAAGTGTTTTAAATCCTGAAGTTAATAACTTATTATGCTTTTATGATGTGATGTGGCTTTATAGTGTTAATGCCAATATTCTTCTTCCACATATTTCTTACACTGAAAATGAATTTCCAATAGGTACTTCCTCTTCTCACTCAATGCTATCTCAATCCTGGACTGCCCTCTAAGCATTACTAAAATTTTTCTCTAAAAGTGAAAAGATTTATACCCCATCAGTTTTGTGCCACTTCAGAACACGTGCTGATCATGTGACTACCCTCCACCAATCATACTGCAACCTTTAAACTATCACAGCTAGCTCCCTCTACTGTTCTAAAGCAATCCTCACTTTCGAGAATTGGAAGGTACGAACCAGAATCACCAGCACATCAGTGTGGAGGATGGTTGGGAAGTGGGTGAGCTGAGATAAGTACCTATCAGAAATGCATTTTCAGTGTAAGAAAATGTTAACTTCCGAAATAGTCTTACCTCATCTCACCCAAAGCTAGAATCTCACATTGCAAACGTGAAGGTGCATCAATATCAAATCAAGTAGAATGTAACAGCACTGAAAAAACAGGTGTGCAATCATATGAAAAGAAAGCACACCTGTGGGGTATATCACTGCTTCTGGAACAGGTATACTCTTCGCCCAGTAATTAACACAGGAACAAAAAGAGGGTGGAACTGAATTGGCAGGCACAAATGCATTCAGGAAAGAGACGTACATCACGGAATCAGTGAAAAAGTGCTGTATAACCATAACTTGAAACAGCATGGCATTGCCAACTTGAAAGTCTAGTGTGGAAGCGACAACTGGCCTGTATAAGTATGTACCAAGGGCAGTGACTTGGGTTCAATTGGAATATGTCAAGTGCAGTCTATCCGGGCAAAACATCCAGTAGAAATGCCTTGTATAAGATATTGAGATCAACAAGTGTGGTCCTCCCAGGCAAAAACATCCAGAGGAAGCACCTTTGAAACATAGGATTAAGAAAAATAAATTACAGGTATGAGCATGATTGTGAGAGTTTTCATAACCAGCCCCTTGTCAACATACATGTCATACATCGTCCACACATGTAGCAGGCCATAGAACTGAACATAGTGATAGTGAATCATAGTATGGTGCCAGAGAAAAATGAAATAACTATATGTGACTAGAACTGAAGGACCATAAAATGTATATGAAGAGGTCCGCCTAGGCAAAAAACATCCAGGGGAAGTGCCTTGGGAAACGTCTAATTATGGAAAAAACAACCAGTGAAAGTGCCTTGCATGAGCTTGTGAGATCAACAAGTATGATCCATCTGGGCAACACCCAGGTTGAAGCACCTAGCATACATAGGATTAAGTCAAGTGTGGTCTGCACAGGCAAAAAACATCCATGGGAAGCACTTTGGAGTACATTGGACTATGTCAAGTGCGGTCCATCTGGACAAAAAACATCTAGTTGAAATGCCCCGCATATAAAATTTTTGATCAACAAGCGCAGTCTGCCTGAGCAAAAACATCCAGGGGAGGCACCTTGAATCTTGAACATTATGTTATTGTATAATCATTGGTCGGTACAGCAATGAGTATAATGACAATAGCCCTCTTTTCACAGAGTGGGTACACATAATATATAAAGTCTGATTTTGTTCACTATACAAAACCCAATCAGGAGGAAACCTCCTCGGTCCACCACTCCAGTGACTGGGAACCGGAAGTGCCAAGGAATCCCATGCTCCACTAGAAGAAAAGGGGAGTCTGGAGGAATGACACACCAGAGATAGTGCAATTAGTGTCTGTGATTCTCTATTTGAAAAGCAGAAAATCCCAATTGGAGGAATCATGGGTCAATAGTGATGGGCAGAAATCTCCATCTGCTTTACTCATGAAGTCCATGAGTGACATTCCTT